AGCAGAAGGGCAATTCAAATAAAAGTTTACAGGAACATTTATGGATCTGTGAAGCATTAAATCTCAGTTTATTAGCTGTTGCATTAGCAACCTCGAAAACTTCAGTAGGCCACGCTCAGATCAGCTACACACAGTAAAAGGTTTACAGCCCCACCGAAGCCAGGATCAGAAGAGCTGCCACTTCAAAACACTTCAGCCACCTTCTCTTGTTCTGTTGAACATAAGAAACACTCCATCTTGCAGTGCTTAACAGCTTGTAGGAAAATGTAGTCACAAAGGTAACCTCAACCACTGTAAATTCCCCCTTCATCAGTTTTCACAGAATAACCACTCTCACAGGGAAAAATTTCCTCCCAGTATTGAATCTAACCCTGCCCTCGGCCAGTGTGAAGCCATTCCCCTTGTCCTGTCACTCCATGCCCTTATCCAAAGTCCCTCTCCAGCTCTCTTGGAACCTCTTTAAGCACTGGAAGAGGCTCTAAGGTGACTCCAAAGGTTGAACAATCCCAATTCTCTAAGCCTTTCCTCATAGCAGAGGTGCTCCTCTAATCATCTTGGTGGCCTCGGTCCAACAGGTCCTTCCTGCACTGGGGACTCCAGGGTTGAATGCAGCACTGCAGGCAGGGTCTCAACAGAGCAGGGCAGAAGGGCAAGCCCTCCTTGCAGCCCAAACCCTTTCCTTTTGTGCCACAAAAGCAGCTGCCCCTCTCTAAAGCCTGACATTCCAGCTTCCTCCCCCTCTGCAGAGCACCAACAGGAGAGCAGTTTCTGCAATGCCACATTTTTGACACCATAAACTAAGGAGAGCCCTGTGCTGAAGAGGACAGCCTTTTAGACAGGGAGAGCTGTGCTAGCACAGAGTGCTCTTGGGCACAGTCCAGCATGGCTGAGACAGGAGCTCCATACCCAGCTAGGCAGGGGGGTTACCTCCTTCACTTGTACTAACCTTTCCAAAGGATGCTGTTCTCACAGTTCCAACTCATCTGCCACCAGATCGCTGTAGGAGGCCCAATAGGCTTCCTCCCTCTCCCAGCACTGCTGAACTAAATCAGACCATTTCAGCACAGATAAATGGGCCCTGGCACAAAGCACACTGAAGGCAAATCCCAAAACACACTGAGGAGCAGCCCACTTCCATGGATTTCTTTGCATGCTTGTGTAGGCAGCCTACCATAAACACACAACTGCCTTTTACCAATTTATTCCCTTTAATTGAAAAGGGTGACTACTCCATTTTCAAACAACACTATTTCCCTGTTCCCACACCTCTGTATACTGCTCCCCCCTGAAGCCCCTTTCAAAGGTGGACTGTCTCCACCTACATGTTCTCACAGAGCACTGACATTAGATAGAAACAACTGATCAGCAGTGTAGATAGTCCTTAACAAACCACAACCCTTTTACTTCAATTTGTTTTGTTCTCTTGCTGCTCAGGCCTATTGAAAACAAAGCATTTTGTAGCTATTCAAGCTTAAAAAAACTGCAATTTTTTTTCACCCAGATAAGGGTACTAGAATACCTGGTAAAACACTCTGTGTTTATGCAGGCAATGTTTGTAAGGGGTTCATGCCCTCAGGTACAGGAAGGGAGTTTGCAAGAACAAAATTAAAATTATAATAATATAATTTTTAATAACTTTTTATAATTTTATAATTACTCAGATTTACAGAACTCAATAGCAAGTGGACATTGTGGCTAGAAAGTCACACTCCAATGATAAATTAAGCAATGCACAGTAAGTTATTAACAACAACTACAAACAGCTCATTGTTCTACTACATTTTATCACAGAAGGTATTCACAATAATCTTGTCATTCTTCCCCTCCCTCATAACACAGAGTCATGGCAAGCCCCTTCCCCATCAGTACAGAACTGCTGTAGTAGAGGTAAAAGTTTGATTTACTCAGTGAATTAATCTCTTAAGAAAAAAGACCTGTATTTAGAGGGTGGGCTGGTTAGTTGGTTTGGTTTTTTAACTGCTAAACTGAAAATATGCTATGACAAAATCGGAAAGGTAACCTGGCAGCAGACTGAGCAGGAATTACTTGAGAGATTTCCCAAGAAATAGATAGAGTCCTGTGAAATTCTTCCAAACTTCCAGCTGCCACCCTTTTCTTAGCAGGTTTCAGATCACTATTAGTATTTGCACTACAGTGTCTTGCTCAAGTTTCCATTCCAAAATGGAAGCCCATTTTGTTTGGGCTCTAGCAGTAAGTACTCAGCTTCATGTTCAACAGAAAATAACCCATCAACAACCATGGGAAAAACTTCTGCTGATTCACTGATGCAGACTTTTACCTCTGTCATGTTCACACGTCCAGCTGCAAGCAAATCCAGCAGTTTCAGAAGAGAAGATTTTCTTGGTCCAAACAGAAGATAATATCTACCTGGTATCACATTAAATATATCAGAGTTCTAGTCAAAGCTGTCTCTTAATGCCTCATTATCTTCTGTGATGACACATTCCCTGCAGCCTCCAGCTCACAAGCACTGAAATACCACTTCCTGGTTCCTGGAAGACACTTCTGCTTCAGATCTGTGATAGCTGCTCTCCAGCTGACTCATGCAGCTGAAACTGAGACACGCTCGTCTTCTTGCTACCACAAACTACAGAGCTTCTCAGTTACTTCAGACAAGGTTTGCTTTACTGTAAGTAAAGGTACCCCCCACTTGTTTCTGACCCAGGTACTGGGGGTCTAATCTTCATTCAGGACAGTGTGAGGTGGCATACAAAGGGAGCAGTAACTGATCTACCACTACAGACAAAACAGTTCTAAGACATAGGAAAAAACAGAGGCAGAAATGGAAAAAGAAAAAAAATCACAATTAATCCACATATACTACTGGACAACCTTCTAGTTTGATCTTATCAACTGACCTGCTGTCTAGCCCTGACAAAGTGAGAGCCTGGGACTCAGTCTTGTTTCACTTACTTCATTTCTGCACTGTTTCTCACCATCTCCTGAACTGACCACCTTGTAAACAACTCCCTGCCTCGAGCAGTGGTAATATTCTCCTTCCCCCCTTCTCTGGAGGCTCATCAGCCTACTCCAAGGTGATAACCTCTTTTTGATTATAGCCCACAACTGGGTGAAACTCAGTCACCAAAGCAGGACAGCCTCCCTATTGTTCGCATTGCTTATCAGTTTAGTCACAGAAACTGGCAGAAGACTCCAAGACAAGGAAGTTTTGCCATCTTTTAAATAGGTCAGATCAGTTCATCGATGTCCAAAAAGCACCATCACAGCACAAGGTTAAATGGCAGGAATGGGAAGGAAGGCATTTCCATCTTGGCAGTGGATCAGCTCAAGCTGTATATGAAACTGTACCTTACCCTAAACCTCCCAATCCACAGTAAACCTTGTCCTGTAACAACCACATGTAGTGATCAGCTGTCTACAGCCCACATCACATGGTTCTTGTCTGAGAGTAAACATGACTGCAGTTAATCGTTGAGAAGCAACAAATCCCCAAGACCTTTCTCCTGTGTTCACCTACACCTACACACACACATGCATTTGCTCTCCTTCCCTCCTCCCACAAAAATGCATTCTAGTCCATGCAAAGCTCATCATCCCTTTCTCTGTTACTTTTCAAGAGTTGCCCAACTCCTCTCCAAGACGGCTTATAACCAAAAAAATTCAGTGTTAGAAGCAACCCAGCTTCAGAAGAACTGAAGTTAACTTTGCAAGTTACTAGCATTGAGACCTGACTTCTTCACAGAGCAGTAACAAGGGCACTAACACAGACCACTTTCTCAAAGACTTGCTCACAGCTTGTCACGTGAGTCTAAGCTTAAACAGGCAAAATGATAAAGTCTCTGCTGTGAAAGGTGTATGTCCAAGCAAAGCCTGAGCTCACCCCTTCACCTGCTGGCTTTAGACAGGGTTAGCACATTACTGTCTGTGCCTCAGGATTTCAGAGAACAGCCTGGTGCCCAAAGAAGTTTGTTCAAGCTTTCTTTCTCCTTTTACTGAAGGGTAACCATTCAGGCTGGACGGCATCTCTCTTAACCTCAACTCAATGACAGTCATTGAGAAACCTCAGAAATATATTTACATTTAGATTTAACTGGCTCCTACTAACTCAAACACACAGTTTGCTTAAAGCACCTTGCTTAGTTTGTTCTCATTTCCACAGAATATGCAAGATCTTTTGATAACTTAAATTAATACCCTTTTACAGAAAAAAAACCCAAACAAAACCCAAACCAAAACCAGCAATAAACAGAGGGTCTCAAGGGTCCTCTCTCACCCTGCATGAAGATTTCTACAGTTCTTCATACCTAGTAAGCCATGGAGAGAGATGGCATATAAATCTGATACAGAAAAAAACATGTGACAGACTATCACAGGCAGGTAGGACAGTACAGGTTCTAAAAATAGTTTACTTCCACAAGACAACAAGCAACAGCTTTCCTGGTCTGGTGTTGTTAAAGTTACTGATAAAGCAACTTGAAGATGAGCAATAGGAAAAACACAACAACTAAAGTTAAAACAACTGGAGAGTTCTGCTTTTCATTTAATTTTGAAGGAGCTGAGCTTTAACACAGTGAACAGTTTTAATGCAGTGATGAGAACAATACTGCTAGCAGTTAAGCCAGACTAGACAAAAGTAGAAAACATCTAAATTTAGATGTCAGCAATTGAGACACTCAGCTATACGAGAAAGTTGAGATCAAACATACATCCCTTTAATCACAGATGGAAGACAAGGCTTTCCAATAACATCTTAGATGCTGTGAAAACTCCGCTGTCCCATGAACAAATAAGCAAGCTTAAATCCGAGAGTGAAGTAGGTCTGGCATGGGGACTGAGGTGCAAAGAGGAGAAAGCTCTAGACAGCACACAGATACCATGGCAGGGCTGTTGGTAGCATACCATTCCAATATTTAGGTTGCACCTTCCCAACTGCAATGATAAGGATGTACTCCTACAGGAAGCACACCCAGCATTTCACCTGCAGCAAGCCACCCCCCTCTTCACTGCAGGACCCTCACCTTGTTGTAGAACTCCTGTTCCCTGGGACCACGAGGTGGAGGCTGCAACTGCTTCAGGACAGTCCCATCTGGATGCTGCAGTATGCCTAGAAGAGAAGCATTTCCTTCAGGGCTTAGTTTCAAGAGGTAAGGCCTTTCTTCCCCCCCCCTCCCCCAGGAATAGTGAATTCACCATCAAGGACAGCCCATGTGCAAAGCTGTACTGCTTCCAGTGCACAGACAGTAGAGTCAAAACTGTCAGTTCCTACAGGTGACCCTTTGCAGAGGTTTGCTTGCATTCCTCTATTTCTAGCCATTGGATGATTTTCTGGGTCTTATTCCGCTCAAGGCCAACACAGTAATGGAATTTGACATTAAAAGTTCCACCCCCAAAAACCCATCACTAAGAATGCATAAACACTCCCTTCTAAAATAACTCATAAATTATTTTTCCAACAATGTCAGGAAGTTAAAGAGAGTATCACATTTAATGCATTTCTTACTATTAAAACAGAAATAAATGTTGTGTTGATGTACATCTATACTAGTGGCATGGAAAGAGTATGTCTTTATTACTAGAAGCAGTGCCCCTACAGCACTCCATGCTATTTGTATCACCCATAATTACACTACAGAATTTCACCTCAGCCAGGCAATACTTTCATCATGCCTGCACAAAAAAACCCTCGAAAATATCCTCCTGGAACAGCTTTAATGACCTTCCAGTCATCAGTATTTCTAAGTAGCTCATAAGAAATGCAACTGAGGATCCAAGGGTACTGAAGAGATGGATGCAGGCAAGAATGGAGAAAAGTAACTACAATCCTCGGAAATGTGCCCCAAGTTTCAACATCATCAACATGCAAGGGAAGAAGGAAAAGCCACTTCTGGAAATTTTTTTTTTCCTAGGATTTATTTGGAGCTTTTCAGACAGTAATCTGTTTTGTTTAGAAGGGAAGCAAAAATGTCATCCGTATCCAAAAGAGGTTGCACTTTCAGTTTACTGCTTGAGAAAACACAGAAAAACGAGCCAGGAGCTTTGTGTCCCAAACAGAGTCTGCAGTTTTAACAGCAATTGTGTTTTCATCTTTTAAAAACCATTATCTATGAATGGGCTCTTGTTGTGCAGCCCTGGAAACTAAATAAAATCTTCAGAGACCAAGATGTTTACGCTAAAGCAACCACCAGATGTAGAATAATTGTTTCAGTAGTTGGCTATACCTAAGACTGGCTTTTAAAGTTTGCATAAAACAGCTCTCAAGTCATGTTTCTTGCTCAAAGCTGGATTTTGTACACTTTCCAAAACTAGAAAAATACTGCCACATAATAATGTGCTGACTACCACAACATCTTCAAGACACAATAAGTTCGTGTCCCCCCCACCCTACCCTTTTGCATGTGCTGGAAACCACTCTGCAAAGTGCACCAAGTACTTGAATGGCACGTGTTGTGCATGCAAACTGCTAACAATCACAACATTAAAACAGGTTTTATGACACACACTCTTCAAAGTCTGCGTTTTGGCTCTGATGATAAGACAAGCAGACAACTTACAAGATAGAAAGACCAGATAAAGATTCCTGGAAATAGAATCCATACACTACTGCACTGATCCATATTACTTGAAGAGTTTAATATAAACTGATGTAAAAGTTTCCTCATTCTCTGCATTTCTTAAGAGACTCGAGCACCTACTCAGTCACTGTGACCAGGGCAGGCCCAGAAACCAGAGTCACATTACAACATTCACCACCAAGATGTAAACTCCATAACCTTCCCTGTGATCCACAATAACAACAAGCAGAGATACCATCACCTACAGATCACAGTAACATAACAATGTTGGCCATGGGTTGGTCGTAGGCTTCCTGGGGTTTTTCAGCACAGATAGGAAGTAGTATTGTACATGGATAGGCAACTTAACATTTCTAAAGAAGCAGCAGAACTGTACAGAAAATAAAATCCTGAAATATCTCACTAACATTTCTCTTTGACTGTGCCTGCAAAGCTTGCTACCATTCTGAAACACAAAGCTGCTGCAAAAATAACCAGTGCAGTTGTATGCACTCTTCTAAACAAAACAATCTCATCCAATCCACCTGCTTCACTGAGCTATAGACAAAACCTGCTTGCACAAATACATCAAACATTTACTTTAGAGAAGATCCTCTGTCCTCTAAGGGTATCTAATAAGGGCAGACCAGTATGTATGAGCCATCTCAACCTGAGCATCAGGAAAACAGCAGCCAGAGTTAGGTCTGTGATCTGCATGAGCAAGTAACTCTGAAGGAGAATGGCTCCCTCACCTACAGAATCCCAATGGCTTGGGAACCCCCAGCACTGTGAAGTTACAGGCACCAAACCACAGTGGGAGGTCCTGTAAGGTGGTGTATCCCATCAGGTCCTGTCTCTTAATTCCTACTCACCTATGGAATTAAGCCACAACCCAAGGTGGTTACTTTACTTAATACACACAATTTATCTGGGGGAAGTGCTACTGCACACAGCATTCAACAAAAGGCCAGTCAGAGTGCCCAAAAGCCAAATGTGCATGCAGGGAGGCTGTGAGAGGCCTTTCTTTGCAAGGCAGTAACACTCACAGAGAACAAAGGAAAAACGGAAAGGTTATTCAGGAGGAGGAAACCCTATGGTAAAAAAAAAAATTAAAGTGTACTTTAACCAAAAAAAAAAAAATAAACCAGTTAAAAATACTTTGGATACCTTTAAGTCCTCTGAGTGTTTGTGTGCAGGGATAGAAGGGAACGTCAAGTTACAGAAATGAGAGAGCTGTGAGTACCAGAGCAGCTTTGGTCTCCAACATAAAATTTCTAAGATGAGATCATGAACCATGGTGGTACCTCTGCAGGAAAATCTTGGTCTTGGCCATGAGATTTAGTGGAGTTAGCTTTTCCTAACCCATTCGAGCTGGCACTCGCAATATGATCACCTGCACTGCTCAATCCAACAGCAATAAAACTGATGTGCAAAAGACAAAGCTCCCCCTGAAAGCGAGCCTTTTTTGCCTGATCCCACCTCATGTTACGATATATGATTAAGACAGACATACAGCTTCAAGGACCCAACGCACTTCCATCAACATTTTAATCCACCAGCTGCAGCAGGGGCAAGGTAAAAGAATTACTTTTCTGTGGAGGTTATCAGCAGCAAGACATGCCATGGGCACGGGCTGTAGATAAGACAAACTCACAGTGCCCTCAGTGCTGTAATTCCATTCACTGATGACTGAAAGGGTTCTGAAGTTCAGCCCTTGGCAGGGTCAAGGAGAAGAATGACTTTTCTGTCCAGATTATCAGCAGCAAGACACACCATGGATGCAGGCTGTAGATAAGACAAACTCACAGTACCATTAGTGCTGTAATGGTTGAAAGGGTTCTGAAATTCAGCCCTTTGCCTATTCAGCAAGGGTGGTTCCTACTGACAGGGTTCAAAGGCAATATGACAGCAGGTACTCGTTACAGCTACTCTCAAAGTGCACACCGGGAGTTGAATGATTGTGTACCTTCCACCCGGCTCAGAGTACAGCAAATGTGATGTCCTGGAAGGGTGAGAAATGCCATTTGGCAACATCAACTTGACTGCTCGCTTCGGCACTGACCACTGCCTATTTCAAAAGGCCCCTACACGAGGACGGCCAACACCTCATTCCTCAAGGTGGAAATAAATTAAAATATAAATTTAAAGCTAGTGGAGGTATACCCAAAAATGCTATATCCTCAGGGTATTTGTATTATTTAGACTGCTTACTATCCGTTGCTTCAGACTGATCGCCAAATCAGCAACTAATAATTGCTTACTAATATTTTAGCTGAAGTTTCTGGTGGCCACAGGTTTGGGGGTTCCCTTTACATATGTTTCCCGTTATATATGTTCTGAGGGTGCTAGCATGCTG